TCATAGCAGTCATGTGTAAGGAGGTTCTTATCTCTATTTCTTCTGATATATTTTAGTCTTTTGTATGATACCATGTTAGTTTTTTTAATGTGAAGTTTCTGTACACAAAACTGTTCTGAAATGTTAATCCTAACTCCTTTAAAATTCTGCTATCATGTAGATATGTTTAAGTAAGATTTCAAGTTATTTAATTCTTCAAAAATCAAAGAAGTACTTTATCTAGGAGATAATTTAATTTCTGTACTCTTTGTGTGTTATTGTAATAGATCTTTATTGTGCTAGGCATTACATTATATTGTGTTTGCACTAACTTGTTTGACTCTCTTTTTCTCTTCCTTCTCTCCTGAATTTGGTTGATTGGAACAGTGTCTTCTTTGTATTTGTTTCTTTATTCCTACTTTTTATTGTCTGGTACACAGTGAATTAGAGACAGTGTTTGCTGAGTAAATGGTTTGAAAGAGAATGTGTCAATTTTTAAAGTTATACAAATTAGAAATTTTATCGTCTTTATATTAACAAAATGGCTTATTAAAAACATAATTTAAATAATTTATTGGGGCAATTTTGAAAAATACTTTGTCTTTTTTATTATGACATTTATTTAAATGGTTAGCTAAATCTCCAAGTGAATTCTGAGGTATATTCAATATTGTCTGGCCTTGCTCCGTGGATTATAACCTGTCAATAAGTTTTTAACAACTCTTTTCTTTTGCTTAAGTAAGTGCAGGAAATCCTAGGTCATAATTGTATCAAGGGTTTTCTGTGTCATTTCATTATGGTTGACTTTACCAATAGAGGTAAAAATTTGGATATATCAAACTAGCTGACAAATCAGAATGAGTTCCCTAAATTCAGATAAAGTTTGCTTTACTAGAAATACATTGAATATAAAGGGATTTTAAAAAATCTATTAGACTGTGGTTCTGCTGTAGTTGCATGCCCATCATTTATTTCTTCCTTCCAAGGATAATGGCACATCCTAGTTAGACTGTTGATAGTCGATTTTGCCTTCCAGAACTATTTTCCTTTTTGATCATAAACCCTTTTGACAATCTGATTCAAATTGGGAATTCCCACCTCAAAAGAATCATCGATCATATACATCTATACCACACACACACACACACACACACACACACACACACACACACAAAACGTTTTGTCTATTGGGTGAGTCAGGACCTGCCCGCGTAAGCAGTTCAGTGTAAGCCAGTATAGGGATTTATCTGTGACCATGCTGGTTTCTTGCTCTTTAGAAGACTGACCTAAGTGATCAATTTAAATTATTATAAAACATAAAGAGTGCAACAAAATAATGCTGAAATCAACTGAGAGATTACAGTAGTACAGTTATATGAATGAACTTTTATTAAATTCAGCAATAGTATTTATAAGGTCTTCTCAGTATTTCTGAGTGCTGTCCCTTTCCATTAAGCCTAATAATCCAGAGAGATCAATTTTAGGGTGGGTCATTTTTCTTGTAAAGTTGGCGAGAGTGAACTGTTTCTAGGATTCAAGTACAAATGACATATCAGAGTGAGGTGGACCCAGAGCAGTGAGGCAGTTCCTCATTTTCTGCACAAGTAAATATTATTTAAGCAATCAATGGATTTCAAAGTGGGATTATAATAAGGAATATAGTGGGATTTTCTGGGATTTTGCAGAAACATGATAAGGAGTAAGAGAGCTCCATGTAAAATTTTGGCTTTGAGGATTCATACTTCTGGTGAAGTTGCCTTCTCTCCATCTCTTTCTTCTGAACTCTCAAGAGATGCCAACCATGATGTTTTCTTCCTATTGCTAATTGTCTGAACCAGTTAATTGCTACGATATTTTGAATTTAATGATAAAAGTTCCGCTGCTTGCGTCTACAGATGCTCATGATGTAGAAATGGTTAACTCTGACATGTGCTGTTTACTTCTCACACCTGTCAGAAAGGCCTGGGGCTCTGCCATCCTCTCTCTTCCTGAGCAGCCGTCCATGATCCAGTCTTTAAAAATGACAGAGTAGAAACATTATCACCACCTCGTCCAAATTCAGTACGAAAAGTCTTATGTTCCATTCACACTTAAATTATTGTAAAACATAAAGAATGCATCAAAATAATGCTGTAATTCAAGATGGAGAGGCATTTGTGCATACATTTGTTCAACAGTATTTTTAGTTCACTTTGCGTATCAAAGCATTATTACTGTGGCCATATGCGAGAACAGGAAAGTCATTTCACTGTGTAAAATGATATGTTAAATTGCCTTTTTTTTTTTTTTTTTTTTTTTTTGCATTTTTTAACATGTAGCAGTGATCTTGATGTTAGGATTTTTTTTCCCCCCCTAGGCTGTAATTGATAACCAAATGAAGTACAAACTTTATGAAATTCCCTATTTGTAGAATAAAGGATCATTTTATTAATTTGCTATTTCAAATCTCTTTAGCTTGAACGTAGTTAACCAGTCCAGTCTGAGTCCCACAATTCTCTATGGTTATCTTACTGCTTATCATATAGTCTAGCCACAGGGAACTGGGCTTGTGAAATTTCCATTCAGTCTCTGATCATGAGGTCCCTGAGGTGTGGACTTGTCTCGGAATCCTCATTGTCTTAGCCTGTTGCCGAACTTGAGCCACATCATGGGTTTTTTTTGTTTTGTTTTTTAAAGATGTTTTTATTGATTTGAGAGAGGAAGGGAGAGGGAAAGAGAGAGAGAAACATCAGTGATGAGAGAGAATCATTGATCACTGCCTCCTGCACACCCTCTATTGGGGATCAAACCTGCAGCCTGGGCATGTGCTCTTGACTGGAATCAAACCTGGGACCCTTCAGTCCTCAGGCCGATACTCTATCCACTGAGCCACACCAGCCAGGGCCACATCATGACTAAGTAAATGAACGGAGTGAATAGATGGGGTATGCTCTGTGTATATCCTTGACCTTGTTTGCACAGTATTCATTAAGTATAAATCCTACAAGTCCTCCCCAAGAACGACATACACAGTGTCTCCCAGGGACCTTTAGTGAACTTTCCAGTTTCTTCTGAACTATTAATAACATCTTATATAAAATGTTTGTATATACTTAACCAGTTTATTATAATCTAATCACTTTGATACAGGCCTTACCCCGTTTCTTCTATAGGCTTTTGTGCCAGTTAGTTTTGGTTTTGAATCCTCTACCACAGGTATTCTTAGGCACTCTTCATCTGTTAGATGGGGACTGTGGGATCTATACCGGGGGTGGTTACCGGGTCCAGTGAGATAGGGTATATGAAGAGCAGTTGACATTCACTATGGAAAGAACATATCGATTCTCAGTACATATTCTGATTCTCCTGTCTCCTCATCTGAGCCCAAGCTAAGCTCCTAGAAGGTAGGAGCTAATGATGCTTCTTTTTCCTACCAGCAGTGCCTCAAAGTCCCTTAATCTTAATAGATCTCCAAGAATATGTTGAATGAATAAACAGCCTTTTTTAATGGCCTTCTTAGTTCTGAGGAAATATGCAGTCTCCCTGCGTGTGTCCTGCCTTTCCTGAGCGGCCGGGTGTGTCTTTCGCTGCCCTGGGTGCTGTGGGAGACAAGGTGGACATGCCTCAGTCATTCCCGAAGCTCACAGGCCAGAATGGCTTCTTACAGCATGCTCCCTCACATGCTACCGTTCTGAGACATGTTAATTATTCCGTGGGTAATAATAAAGCGAAGGCTTTATCTCCATCTTGTTATCAGGATCAAGAAGTCTTGCAATTAGGAAGCAGTTTAACTTTTTAAAGTCCATTTTTTCTTAGCTTGTTGGACCACAGGATTCTTTTTGTGTGTCACATGCTGGTGGTGCAAGGGCAGCAAGTGCTGCCAGCACGCGCGTCAGGAACCTGCAGGGGACCCGTTGTGATGAGAAGGGTGCCATGAGCACTGGGGAGGGAGTCGGGGAGTCCACCCAAGTGCTTACACGTTCACCCAAGTGCGGAATACTGAGTGTACAGAGGAAGGGGAGGGCATGTTAACATGTTAATTATCCTGAAGAATAGTTAGGGTGAGGCAGAGAAGACAATGGGCAAAACCCCGAATGTTTGACAGAGCACAGTGTCTGCGGAAACTCCACGCAGTCCTGTATTAAACCACGTGGGGAACAGGCCCTACAGAGAATGAGTCAGCCCACAGGATGTCTAGAAGCTTTGACTAGCACGAGTGGTCTGTAAGCAGGGAGCAGTTTCTGAATTTCTGTCATGCTCTATATTTAAAGCTAATTCTCCAGAGGAAAAAGAAAGTTTCAGATTTATGATAAACTAGCAAACTATTATGGCTGAGTCATCTACCATGCACTATTTTTGATTCTTAAGTTTATTTAATGGGTCTTTTTAAACAAATTGAGTCATCTATGAACATTTACTAGAGTACATTAGGAATGATGAAGCAGTTTTCCTTTCTAAAAGTACCAAGTTAATTAACTTCTGCTTTGAAATTGATTGTAGGAGAATCATCACACATGAAGCAGAACATTGGGGTGTCATTTTTATATTTTTACATTTAAGCTTTCTCCTCCATCATGGATTCTCATTGTAAAATACTGGAATTTATAGAAAAATTCTTTGCAAACACCACATTTAAATCCTGTAATATTTCAAAACGGTTAGAAAAATTGATGACTATCTATAGCTATCCAAACAGTAGCTATAGATAGTCATCAATTTTTCTAACCGTATTTTTTAGATGGTTTTACAATTCTTTGTTATGATAAATGTTTTGTATACATAGTTCTAGAATTGGAATTATTGGGTCAAAAGTAGGAATATGTTTAAGGCTCCACTGGGAATTTTTCACAGCGTTTATTTCATTAGGTATTGAAAACAATCATTTTTTTAAAAAGACAAAAATAAGAAAGGAAACTTTGTTGGTTCAGTAGCTTAAAAATATGGACCCATGTTTTTTGTTTGAGGTCTTAACCGTAAGTGGTAGTTCATACTTTTTAATACCTTGTGCAAACGAAGGTAAGACTTTTCTCTTTATTTTTGAGGTATCCATCACGAATTGAAAAAATCGACTATGAGGAGGGCAAGATGTTGGTCCACTTTGAGCGCTGGAGTCACCGCTACGACGAGTGGATTTACTGGGACAGCAACAGACTGCGGCCCCTGGAGAGGCCCTCGCTGAGGAAGGAAGGCCTGAAGGACGACGAGGACTTCTTTGTAAGTAAGCTCTTCGTTTGCTAGATGTGTAGGGATGCATTTTAAAAGGAGTTCTTTTAAAGTTTGCAGAAGCTTATTTTTTATTAAGGAAACACTTATTTATTATACATGGTATTGATCTGAAAAGTTGTTTAAACTAGGATTTTAAAGCCGGAGAAGAAGTTCTGGCTCGGTGGACAGACTGTCGCTATTACCCTGCCAAGATCGAAGCGATTAACAAAGAAGGTATGTATCTGAAGCGATCTGAGATTTAAGATGGGATTAACAGTAACGTTTTAACTGTGCTGCTAACTTTAATTGATGCCTAAATAAACTGTTTAAATTAGCGAGGTAAATAAGTGGTAAAATTTTCTCAGTTTTCAGTTCACAGGCTTAAGTTGTATGCTTTTTATTTCAGTTTCTCTGTTTTCCATTTGTTGCCTAAGCTAATTTCAGATGCTCATCTCAACCAGACTGTGATGAAGAGTTAGAGAGAAATTCAGATCAGTTTAACTTGGAAGTGAAATTCTCTGCAATATTTGCTGAGGAAAGAGTATGGAACTTCTTCAGCTTGAGGCTTTCCTTTATGTCATCTTTCCTTTGTACCATTTTTCTTAATTTTAATAGATAATGGAGGGTTAATTTTCCTAATAGCCTTTTGTAATATCTAATATCGATACTGAGCACAAGTTACTGAGCTGATCAGAAATGTTGAAAATAACTCAGAAATCAGGTGTGTTAGAATGTCACAAGACCCAGTAAGTCTTTATGATAATGAATTTACAAAACAGAACTCGTAGGGTGATTAATTTGAAAAGGTCTGAGAATATTTAAATCATTATTGGGAATATACTTATTTTACTTTTTAAATTTCTTACTTAAAAATAGCCTTTAAAACAGTTGTGAAATTCTTGTAAGTAGTTCTTTCAAGTTGGTAGTACATTAGTTTTTCTGTTACAATTATTTCTTAAACTTGACCAACTTATTATTTTTACTAAAGAAACACACATTGTGTGACAGCTTCTTTGCAAGAAGAGTATTTAATCTAAGTAAGAGGACACTTCCTTTCAACTGGATCGGAAAGGCAAGCAAGGAAGCCAGTTACTTAGGGAAGGAAAAGGCCTTTCTGGCGGAAGAAGTGGTGCTTGCTGGGAACTGTAGTCTCTGACGTGGCTGAAGTGGAGGATTCCTATACAGGGAGCGGGGAGCAGGGGAAGAGGCTGGAGAGAGAAGCCAGGATAGGTATATGTGTCTTGTTCTTGCTAAAGAATTTGAACTAAAAAATACAAGTAAATTGAATTTTATTTGGAGGTGATGGGATTTAAGCTGAGGTTTTAAACTTAACAGCAAATTTGAGAAAAAATAGGAGGTAAGATAAGATAGAAGAGGAGAACATTTAAAAGGACATATTAATGTAAGGTGTGAAAAAGTAAGTCATAATCCTCCAGCTAGAATTTATGATTATAACTCTACAAAGGTGTTATTCCAATGTGCTGCCTTAATGAGTTAAGGTAACAAACATGGCTCTGATTTTATTACCTCTGCTCACCTGACCGCAGCTGGGGGGACATGGCAATTTGGGGAGGGTGAAGGTGGTGGCAGGGGCTGGGTAGAATGGGCAAAGAGGGGAAATGGAAGACACCTGCAATAGTGTCAATAATAGAAATTAAATTAAAAAAAAAAAAAAGAGAGAGAGAAAAGGGAATGAAAAATTATGGCGAGGCAGAATCTCTCTGAACAGCCAGTGGGGAGAGGCGGTCAGTAACAAGTGTGGAAAATAGCTCTGGGCTCCCAAGAGAAGGCAGCTCTGAGCCAGGGCCGCCAAAACCTATATATATTCCTGTGTATACATGCATGCATGCTTTAAAGCTCTATAAGGATACATACCAAATTATTAAGTCATTACTAACCCTGAGAAGATGGAAACTTTTTTTTCCTTTCACATTTCTCTATTGACATTTTAAATAGTACTTTATAATTAAAAACAAAATGTAGATAAATCTTTAAAAAAAAGAGAGAGAGAAAATCTCCCATCAATGTAGTGATTTTGTGATTTCTGTAGCCCCATGTGTTGGATGAGTCTGCTCCTTCATCCCCAAAAAAAGGAAAAAGGAAAAGAAAAAGGCAAAAGCAAGCTCTCCCTTCACCGCAAGGCTTCACAGAACTAAACGGACGTGACCTTCCTAAGTGTTTGTGATGTGTCTTAACGAGGAGGCACATCCGTGTAGGCCGCGGTCAAGGGTGTTTTCCTCTGAGGGCTGGTCTGAGGACTGATGTGTGAAGAGCAGGCGGAGTTAGGAAGGGGAGGCACTCAGCACTGGGGATGGTGCGAGTAAAACAGGGAGTGGGGAGGGCCGCACAGTCCAGTGGCGAGGAGCCCGCCTCATCGGAATGGGATGCCATGTTGAAGACGGAGCAGGACAGTTGCAGGAGGAGGTGTAAGGTGAGCATGCGGTGTGGCATGCTCAGAGTTTCCCGTGTCTTTATCTCCTTGCTATTAACTAATCAGCTTTTTTTCATAACTTGAATTTAGATCTATATATCTGCAGTATTGTGCATTCTGCTAATTGTAGGAGGATATGGGATTCAAATTATGTATAAGAAATCTTTGCACATATATGTCCTTGGCTTTGTGCCAGCTTCAAAGCCATTAATACCAATTATCACACTTACTGTTTACATTTCTCCCATAAAGGCCAAGTGTCTGACCTTCAAAGTGGCACTCATCTCTCACTTGGAGTGAGAGGAAATGATAGAAAACTACTGGACTTTCTGTTTCCTAATCATACTGACTGTTACTGGCTTGCGAGCATGTGTCTGTCAAAGAAGTGAGCGTGCTTTGTAATAGCCATGCAGACTGCAGCCGGTCCTTAGAGGAGGACGCGGGGTGGGAGGCCGGGGCTGGGGTGATGCGGTGCTCCGTGGAGCTGGCACTGGGTGAGCAGTTGGCCTCCCGGAGCCTAGAGGGCTGACCTGACCTGGAGGACTTTCACGTCAGTGACCTGTAGAGAGTTTTCTAGCTTAAAAGCCTCTACCTGTAATCTCACTTGCTAGTTCATTGTTGCTAGTTCATGATGCTTTCTGAGAAAATGGCCTTTTCACACATCACATCTTTCTGTCTGATCACTGGAAAGAGACTTTGAAGGATGGCACATGTTTGTAGAAGTATTACACATTTTTGTAAAAAAATGATCTTATTTTAGTCCAAGTATAACACACCTGACGTTCTTTAAACATATATTTACATTATAACAAATTAAATTTGACAGTCCTTCAGTAAAAATGAGAATTACATGCAACTAACTTATCAGGATTCAATGTGTCCTTTTCAAAGGGAAAGCAGGTGTTTTAGCGGGACAGAGGAAATGAGCGTATAAACGTGATAGAGTTCTGAACCTGATGGGGTTCTGTACATCCGCGCCATGGCGGGCACAGATACTTGTCCTATCGGGCATTACTTGTTAGATTTCACGTGTTGCTGTGAGATGGAATTATGCTTTCTGATGACCCACTTGCTCCTGTTTCAGGGACGTTCACAGTTCAGTTTTACGATGGCGTCATCCGTTGTTTAAAAAGGATGCACATCAAAGCCATGCCGGAGGACGCGAAGGGGCAGGTAAGAGTGCTCAGCGTTCCCAGCTGCCCAGAGGGATGTCTTCTGGAATGGTGACCGATCAAATATACACATGTCTATTGAAGTGAACTAATTGTAGGATTATGTGCTGATAGCCCCAAATAGCAGCAAGAAAAAGAAGTTAGACTGTAAATTATACACTTGATCTCTGCTCCTTTGGCTTTAGCCCTGCTAAAGTTATAGGTCACTAGTTTCTGTTCCAGGTGAAATCTCAGCATCCACTAAGCTGGTGTTGTCCTATCGACCCAGCTGGATCGTGTAACCAGGCTATGGAAAGTGAGGTAAGTGCCTTTTTTTAAACTTCATTTTGTTTTTCCTGATATGTAGTATCATTTAGAAAGTTAAATTTTCATATACAATTTTATATCGAGTTCCTTATCATATTCTTTCTTCCTATGAATCATAGTCACTAGTCTTCTTAAAAGGCGCTTACCTGACATTCTGTAGGCTGTTGGGTAGGGCTCTCTGAGCCATGCTGGCGAGCAGTGTGTTACATGGCATGGCTCTGCTCTCAGCCAGGCAGCACGGTGAGCCTCTGGAGGAGAATTAAAACCAGGAGTCCACTGGTTGACGGTTTCCTCAAATACTGGGAAGAAAAGGTGCCAGTAGAAATTTAAAGAATTTTCTTTTACGTTCTGCTGTTATTTGGGATTTTCAGCACCTGGACCTACAATTAATTTTTAAAAAGTGACAATGTCTAATATGGAAGTACCTTTTATGCTACATATTTGTTTCATGCCATGCGGTGAAAAATGTCCTGAAATGCGTTGAAATCACCTGGTCCTCCCCTCAGGGTGTGCATGTGGTCACCTGCAAACATAGACCCACACGTTAAAATGGTTTGTGATGTCTCCTTAGAAGCGTGATTGTGTTCAAGCACCTGGGTTTCAAAGTTTTGCTTTTGAAATGATCAGCTAGCAGATTTTTTTCTTCAGTTAATATGAGATGCAATTTAAAATGTCACTGCTTTGATCAGTAAATTGCTTTGTGTCTTTCTACTTGTCTGTATAAATAAAATGTTCTTCTAAGCACTCAGTGGTGTGATTTCTTGGTTACTGCATAGAAACACGGAGTAAAATGTGAACTTATGCAATATAGTATACATGCTTAATTAAAATTCTCTGGAGCGCTTTTTTTTTTTTAAACGACTCTTTTTATTTTGGTTGTTTAAATGTTTGTGAGATGGTCCTAGCCCTAAAACTTTATTTCCCCCCCAAATTGAAACTTTGAACCAATTTGGTTTGCTACAAAATTGCAAGTTGTAAAAATTAGCTTATTGAATGTACTAGATATTTAGTTGACATATTTTGTCACATCCTAATGTAAGTTAATATTAAAATAAATGCCAAAATACAAAGAAAGAAAATATTAGTAGCAGTATAAGTATTTTCTTTAAATTTACATATTTCTTCATAATCTTAAATAACAAGCACATTAAAAAAATTTGTAGAATTGTCTTGGATAAAATTACCTTGTTTTAGGAGAGTCATTTTCCCAACAAGTTTTTGACTTGTTTTCATCAAAGGAATATGCTAAATCAGATGTTGTTTGGGCAGTGCTGAGAGAGCCCAAATGTACTCGCATGTTCTCTTACATGTCGAGTACATTGAGAATTCCTTAGGAAGATCATCAGTGAAATTTCTTTTACTAGACCAGCAAGTAATTGCACTGTGGAAATGCCCTGCCCTAAGCTCTCTCTGGGGTTTTCTCTTGTATAATGTTCTCTTCCTCAGTGTGTACTGATAAAGAATTCACATGTACCTCACTAGTGTTCAGGATTGGCTGGCTCTTACAAGAATTCCTTTTCCTCTTTTTTAAACCTGCTTTTCATACATGACTGTATTGGATATTCCGTGGCAGATTCTTTGACGTAGATGTGGCTGACAGTTCTGTCTCACAGCTGAGGAGTTCGATCTTCGAGAACTCAGGGGCTCAGTAAGCTGTCACACAGCGTCATAGCAGGCCGCCGAGCTCAGGCTGCTTTGGGACGTGCGGGCCCCTCCTTTATGGCGTCTGCGGGGAGCTGCAAGACACAGCGTTAGCTCTGATCGTGGGATCACAACAGTTATATCTGAGAGTGAATCTTTCCTGTTGAAAACCGGAAGAGCAGAATTACGAGAGAGTTCCGTAACCACACAAGCACGGTGATCCCGTGACTCACACGTCAGGGGATCTGGAACTCCCTCCATCAAGTTGTTCATCAGGAACAACTTGCTGAATTTCGACTTCTCCTAGTTTTTCTCTTTACCGGAGATGGAAAAGCACTGGGCATGGAATGTGTCCTGGCATTTTTCAGCATTTCTCGAACAACTTAAAATTTCCCCCAGTGTGGAGCTCCAAACTGGCTGATCTGCCCTTAGCCAGCCTGCGGACATGCTCGCTGCTGGGAGAGCACTTTCTCTGCTGGTCTGGCCGCGCTTCCTCTGGCTTCTCCTCCCGCTGTGGTTGCCGTTTCTCAGCCTTCTCCCGGCGGTGCTTTCTTTATGCTTCACTGTCCCTCCCGTGGCTCAGCTTAGCCACCGAATTTCAGTGTGGCCTGGAGGCCCTCTCCCATCCTGGCACTCGTGTGTGCTCCGTGGCTTCCCTTCTGCTCGGGGTGCCCGTTTTCTTTCCCGCTGCCCCTTTCCCAGCAGAGTCCACTTCAGCATTCAACCCGCCATCACTTACCCTGTTGCCTTCCCCTCGCCTTCCTCTTCAGTCGGAATTAACCTTTTCCCTTGTGTCCTCCCAGGACCCCTGGTTTATTCCTCTACTGTCTCTGCTACCATGTCACACTGTCTGCTCCTCATTTTGTTTGCCCGTCAATTCCTTACAGGCAGGACCCAAAACGAGGGTGGTCCTAGGGCTGGCCATTCTGGTACATCTGTTTGTTTTTTGTTTAACTAGAAAGATAAACCTTTATTTCACAGTTTTGTCCTAATTTGCTATCTAATGAAACATGTGCTGGGAAATATTGAAATCCTGGGAGAGCTACGTGCCCGCTGGTGTTTCCCAGGGAGGAGCAAGGATGCGGTCCCTCCAGGGCCATGTGTTCGGGCTTCAGGCAGCGCCTGTTTTCAGCTGCTGTTTGCGGGGGACTCAGCATGCATCCCAGCACGTGTGGGGGCAGCCAGTAACACACTGGTGAAGGAGATGCTGGGTCCAGTCCGATTCTGTTCTCAGCTCCTCTCAGTCAGGCGGGAGAGTGAGGGACCTCCATTTTGTTTGTCTTGATTGGCTTATTGCCCTCACCATGTATTTTCAACACTGGGCAGCCATCAGCTTGGATTGCTAAGGACCTGTGTTGTTATAATCCCAGTTAAATGCATTTGATGCTCTGAAATGGTTTTTGGGTGCTTAGACTAAAAATTTAATTTCCCATTTGGGTTGACTCTGAATTGGTCTCGTTGACAACTTAGCAGTCCTCAGAGGAAGGGTTAATTCTCTAAAGATATTACAAATAGTTGTTTTGTTTTTTTTTTAAAACTTTTTATTGCGAAAATTTAAATGTTCCACTTCTTTACATCTTTCCATGTTTCCCATTATAAGCATTTTTAGTTAAAAATAAAAGAACAAAATTATTTAGCAATAAACAACAAATATAATACAGGAAAATAAATATTTGCACCTCAGAAGAATGGCAGCTGACATCGGCCCAGAGAATGGTAGAGGAAGGGAAATGGAGCTGGAGCCTGATGGTGCGGACTTTACTTTGGCCAAGTAGCTCCTTTAACAAAAACTCACTAGTAATGTGAAGCTGCTGTAGTGAATGTATCTGAACTTTGAAAGCTTTAAACATTAATAAAATCACCCCTTGATTGCTATGAAATTGACCATCCTTTGAGTGGAACATTCTTCTCAATGGAACACTACTCAATGAAATACATTTATTTTAATCTTTGAAGAATTGCCACTTAAGCATTTTTCTCATTTCTTTGATGGTCTGTGATGTTACAGGAAAAAATTGCAACTCTGCATTTAAACCCTGAGGTACTAAGGCAGAATGTCATATTTGTCATCGATTTCTTGTTGTTTTAGATTTTATTCCTGAGAAAATATACCAAAGGGACATTTTTTTTATTGAATATTTTTCTATTTTATATAAGGTTATAAACCCAACTAAGCCATTAAATTATTCTGTAATCTACCATGTTGATGATCTACCTTCTATAGTCAATTAGATTTTTAAATTTGTGTGCGGGTGAAGGTAGCTTTGAAAATGCGATACATGTTTTTACTCATTAGTGTAATTAAATTTTGATGAATGTTTAATACTTGACATGTTTTGTGTTTTTCCTTTGGAGGACTGGATAGCTTTAGTCAAAGCAGCCGCTGCAGCCGCAGCCAAGAATAAAACGGGGAACAAACCTCGAACGAGCGCTAACAGCAATAAAGATAAAGAGAAAGATGAGCGGAAATGGTTTAAAGTTCCTTCAAAGAAGGAGGAGACCCCAGCTTCTGTAGCCACTCCAGAAGTTGAGAAGAAGGAAGATCTGCCCACGTCTAGCGATACATTTGGTACAAAACCTGTTCTTACGCTTAGTCCTTAGCCACCTAGCGAATAAGGAACAAATCAGACCCTCTGGCTGCCTGTACTTGAACAGACCGTTACGTTAGGAGGCTTTCCCCCAGCACGATATGGCGGGTAACTTCTAGCATTTTACAGATTTGAAAATTAGTGGTCTAACATGGGTACTTGGTAATGGATGCCCTCAATATTCTTGAATAGAAATGAGTTGAGATTTTGATTTGTGTAACTTACTGGTAGTACGTGTTTGGGTTTTGTTTATTTTCTGTTTCTAAAAAAATCCTTTAAATGCTTCTGCAAATATTTCAATATATACTGTAGACTATATATTATGGAAAAAGCAGCAAGTCATTCTCTTCCTGCTTTTCTTTCTGGGAGGATAACTGCTTAGTAGTTTTTATTCCTAATATGTCAGTTTTGAGAAACTTGTGGCTGTGTGTGTGTGTGTGTGTGTGTGTGTGTGTGTAAGTTTTCTGTTAAGCACTAGATTAAAATTCAGTGCAGAGCATTTGTACTATTTATTTTTTTTAAATGGTTTGTTTTAACTCTGAATGCTATATAAACCCTCATCTGTGTGTTCTGTTAAAAGTAGGACTTCATATAGAGAACGTTCCAAAGATGGTCTTTCCACAGCCAGAGAGCACATTGTCCAACAAGAGGAAAAATAACCAAGGCAACTCGTTTCAGGCAAAGAGAGCTCGGCTTAACAAGATCACTGGTAAACTACAACGATTCTTTCGGGGCCGGGAGGGCGTGGCCTTAGAGAAGTTGGTCTGTAATAAAGCCAGGGGTCTTTTGGGTAATATAACTGGTTAATTAAAAAGACAGCTCCTCTCTGGTTCTTCAAGGTCAGCCTTTTCCAAATGGTCAGCTCTTTGTGCTGTGCAATGTGAGTGATCACTTGTCTCTACCTACCTCACAGGGGTGTTGTGAGGATCCATAGGGTCATTACCAATCCCACAGTCTGCATGTCACCTCGGTGGCAGGAGTAGCTCCATAAGAAATGAATTGTCTGCTTTTGTCAGCCTGTGGTGACATACTGTCTGAGGTTCTAAGTATTTTACATTCTTACTCCATCAGTCACTAAGCATGGTACCATATGTGGTTGGAAAGATGGACACGGAAGCTGTTAATTCCCAATGTAAAAGTATCCGTATGCTTTTAAAGTTTCTGTCCTTCCTCCGCTTGGTCTCTAGAATCTGGTCCTGTTTCTCCATGCTTTGTTATAATTTAGGAAGGAGGGTGTTGTCAAATACTGGTGATGAAAAGTACTGGAACCTGGCCTGGTTAGTGGTCAGAGAAGGAGGGATCTAAGGCTTAGCATTAGGGCCAGTCATGGCCCCACCCTCCTGAGGTCCGTTCAGCTGAATGACTATAGTCTTTAAAGAGGTTGTAAACATATGTAACTCTTGTGAGTATTTGTTAAAAGGAAGTTAAAATACTTGATTCAGTCTTATGTTCTTATTTTAAGGACAGAATGGTTTTAGGGCCTTTGACTTAATAAAGCTCTTTAACCTTTATTTGTTGACATTTTTAAAAATAATTTGAAGAAGCTGGGATTCCTGGTCAGATTCAGGAATAAATGTAAATTGCACATTTGTCTGTGCTCTGAAGAGTGGGAGTCCTGGTGGCTCTGGGCTGAGGCCTTTAGAACCACTGTTTGGTCCCAGTACACAGAGAAGTACACAGCGAGTGATATGATTGACTTCAGCAGGTGACATTTCCTCAGGCTTCCCATGATTAATATGTTTATGCCTTTCTCTGATGAAGGGTATTCTTGGTCCCAGGACAGGAAATATTTAAAAATAAGTTCATTCGTCCCACCTTTTCTTTAGAAACTATTAACTTTGGAGAAAGCCCAAATGTTATCCAGGTGATGGTTATGATGGCAACTTGAGACTTCCATTTTGCGTTTTAATATCGGACCCTAGTGCTGTGCGCTGGGGCCAAAGTAGAATGATACTTCCAACCCATGAGTCCCGAACTGGGAGCAGCACTGCCTGAGGAGCCAAGATGTAGGACGATGCAGTGACACCGACCTGATGCGGCCGCCAGCCTCCCAGTGCTGAGCTTTCCTCCGGTCTGATGGCCTGACTTGATTTTCAGTCAGCGTGCTCATGCCTGTGCCTTACTGAGAAGTTCAAGCTCAACATTTAAAGAGAAAATAAAACCAAAACAGCTCATTCCACAGTGATGCATTACTTCTGCATGACCTTGAAAAGACAGTGGGGAGTGGGAGGAACAATTCACCGTGTGCCTCAAGGAATTCTAATACTGGGGTGCAATAGCCCCCTGTGCCCTCTGGGGGGGATTTGTCTTCACTGCCCCTGAGAGGCTCAGATGAACACGTGACAGTGTGGCAGTGGTAGAAAAGCGTAAGGTTTTAGAATGTGAACCCATTATCATTTCCCCTTTATTCAGAGGACTTAAATGTGTGATCATCTTTTTAATAGTTCATCCCTCTATTTCTGATTCACGGTACAGCTATATCATGCAAAAACACAGTAGACAATACATGGTTGTCTTTGAAGAGTAAAGCAAACTTGCCTCTGTACAGTAAGTGTCGTTTGTAGACCATGAATACAGATGAGAACTAATTGGAAAATGGCGATTTCTGTTATGGAATTACGGTGTGTTTGTATTTATTATGCTCACTTATACTTGACCTTTTGTCCCTTTGCTGCTGAGAAGAATAGTACTGCGACTATAGCAGCATCCCCGCCTGTTCTGATGACTTCCCTACACTGTTTTCAAAATAGTTCAAGCTAGAATTGAGTGGACCAGCTACTAGATAAATTTAATTCATGTATTTATTCTCTCCTGTTCTTTCCCATATACACATCCTACAGAGATTTTAAACCTGATTTCTATGGAGGGAATGGTATAGGATGGCTTTTTTCATAAGTTTCCAAATAAGTAGAACCTTGAAATGATGGTTGCACAGTAGATAGATGTTCTTCTAGAGTCTTACTTTTTGTTATGTAACGTACTGTATGGACAGTTATAGACTTCATGTATACTGATCTAGAATAGACAAGTTTACAGAAAGAATCAGAAGTCTAGACTTTCAGACAAAGTTTCAGTCAAATTTGAATAGATCTTAAAGTACAGGTGGTCAGTAGAGTGGAAGAATTATCAGCAGTTGGTGTGTTTATTTCCAATAGTTCTAGGAGTGCCTAAAAGTTCAGCCAGCTTAGATTTATTTGTGCAGCTTAAGGAATCTTAAAATTAATTTTAAAAAACCAAACAATTGGCCAGTAATACGCTATTGATAATAATATCAGCAAAATTTGATCCTTAATACCAGAAAGAATATTGGGTTTTGGAATCCTGGATGGAGTGCGGGCCACACATTTGGAGAGCACTTTGCTCTCTCCCTCCCCTTTGCTATCGCAGGTGCTCTGGTCTCTGCTGCTCCTTCCTGTGGCAGCGACAGACCAACTCCACTCCGCGCTTTATAGATGAAGTGCAGAGAAGCGAGAAACCGTAACTCTGTGAGTTACAATGCAGCATGATGTAGTTCTCATGAGTGTGTGACATTCTGCTTCTACCTGATATTTGAATAATTTCTTAAGCATTCATTTTGTTAGGATACTCTCTAGATAACATTCTTCTGGGGAAGAACCTATTAGTAATACGTTGAAAATACATATCTGCAAAGAACTAGAATTAATTTTATTTGTATCTATGTCCTTCCAATTCTCATTTCCTGGGGAGGCTGCATTTCTCCCAGAACATAGCAGGTCCAGACTTCATCTCTGGCAGCAGTAGTCAGAGTCCTCTCCTCAAGCACATGCTTTATTTTGTCCCCTTTATTGTGTGTGTTTTTAACTCTTTTGTAAGATGTCATTGCATGTAAGTGAAAAACGTTTTAGTGATCATACTTGAGACTTTTGAATTCACTAGATACCAAGTGTTATATATTCTAATCTAATTTTAGGTATTTTTCATTAAGTGCCCCATTGCTTTCTGTAAGAACATTACAAAGCTTTATTTTTCCTTCACAAACCATTAAGTGGGAATTGCTTTCATTAATTGGGTTTATAATATTGCAACTTAAATTCATGGAGTGGGACTGAATTATTTTGTTTTTCTAAACATGTAGTACCTTATTTTTAATTTTGTAGTTTGGGATGTAGTCCATCTATTGATAAGATTTAAAAAGGTATTCCCACCACTGGTAGGAAAGGAAGCAAAATGTAAGATATATTTAAGAAATTGAGTAGCAAATATCTATCTTGTTTGACCAGCCCCCCCAAGAAGTAGTATAAGAACGCATGTCTCTAATTATTTTTCTTTAGTATTATTGATTCTCAGAAATACTAGCTAGAGAAGAAACCCCTAGTGAATGTGGTTCTAAATGTTAAAGAACTACATTCTGCTACATCTTTTTCAGTCGCCTAAAAATATTTTCAGAAGTTACATTAATAAGGATTGAATTTATGGTTTACAAACTATTTTTATAAAATTATTTATATATTGTATTTTCCTCCATTTAAACTACACTTGATATTGTGTGAGACTTGAGCAAACTCTGTATGGTTTGTTATATCACACTGGATCAACTATCAGTTTCAACATCAATCATTGATGTAGCCACAGCATAATTTTATATTTCGCCTTTTCTATTTTAAATTATAATTCCGAGTGCTAGATTATAACTGGACATCAACTTTCCAATAAAATAAGTGCTTTTTGCCTACTTTAACATTTGGCTGCAGTATTACTTTAAGAATACAATTTTAATATTTGAATCCTTACTTAGATTACTTAACATTTTGACATCGTTATCTGGAAAAGTCAAGAAATGTTGCCTTCTGGCTAACTTGAAGTTATGTGACATTTGGGGGTAGCGTTTTCCTCCTATTAAATGTGCTGTGGACAGTTTCAGTAATATCTCGTATAATTGTAATAAGTTTACTCTTCGGTTATTGATGTTCGCACATCCTTTGAAGCAAAGGTTTTGTGTGGCCAACTTTGAAGTGGCACAAGAATGATTTAACTCTAGTTAGCATATTCTGACTTCCAAAACTGAAATTTAGTGGTATTGCATTGGAGAAAACTGGATTTCCCAAAATATTTCATTATTTGTAGAATGGGGCTGTAATATTATGTAAGTTCATATATCAGAGGGAGACATTTTTTTACAGAATAAATGTATGTGTGTAGTGCTTTAAGGGTATCTTTAGGAGTAATATCAAAACCTAATTATGTAACCTACTTTCAAGTTCTGATTCATTTGCTTGAGTCATTATCAGGATGTTTGTATTTGTGACAGGTTAACTTTTGAGAATACTTACTTCCTATATCCTGAAAAGTATGGGGGATTTCGCAACTGCTAAAGTTTTGTGAAGTTAATTAGGGTGAAAGTCAACGTTTTTTCTAATAAGCAATCTCTGTACAATTTTTCTCAAGGTTTGTTGGCATCCAAAGCTGTTGGGGTGGATGGTGCGGAAAGAAAGGAAGACTACAGTGAAACAGCTCCAATGCTGGAGCAGGTATGAAATGGTAGCATTTGATTTTTGTCAAGGTTCCCAACTGGAATGATCACGGAGCGCTAATACCCACGTAATTGAAATTGCCCTTTTGGTCAGATACGGGAATAGGAAGCTAATTAATTGCTATATTTTTAACTCTGCCTTCTCCAAGGTGTACAAACTACAGACTTCACTTAAAGCCTTTGTCTCCAATGAAGGCCTGGAGACAGGCCGCCCAGGGTATAAGCTTCAGGCTGGCCCCCTTGGCCAGCTCACAAAAGACCCTCCCACAAATACTTGCCATTTGTGAGTTAAAACAGGGTTTCTGACATCTAATAAAGCTTCTTTTGTAAGAAGTTTCTTTTATATTGTAACAATTGGTGTTGTTAGACTGACTATGTGTTTTACGAATTTATCAATGAGCCATACATTTTTTGCTAGGATGTATATTTTAATAACGACAAAAAAAAAAGAATTTTAAAAAACTATTATGGGTCTGTCTTTAAACCACCTAACAGAGGAATTTAAAAGTGAAGGTTGCGGTTGCTAGATTTTTGCCTTGGCTGCCTTCAGATTCCCACAATCCCTGTACATAACGAACTGTGCATGCTTCCCCATCCTCCAAGGGCTTACCTTCTTGGGCAGTCAAACTACCACAACACAGTAATAGCCATAACTGGGTCTCCTTGGTTCTCCTGGCTTAAAATCTGAGCCTTAATGCAGTTTAATAGATCCTTTGGTATTACTTTAATTTTCTTTATTAGTAGCCTAATAAAGAAGACTTTAAAACGAGTATCTTTTGCTCCTTTCGTTCAGAAAAAGAATCCAAATTTAATTGATATTGTATTGAGTTTTTCAGGGTTATTTTAGGCCTCATTTGATAACAATGCATTGTTTTGGTGCCTCCATTAATGTTGTATTAAATGAACGGTTTTTTAAATTGATTCATATGTCAGCAAATTACGCCTTCTGATTTTCTGTGATCATCAAACGGTTAAGTCTTTGCCGTTATTGTCAGTATATCAACCAAATTTTAAATGACTTTTTTTTTTTTTACTGTGTATTACTATATTCAACATCCCAAATATAACATTATTTTGTATTTTCACCACTGTTTATAGTATTCTCAGAATGCAATAAATCAGGGACTTGGGTAATAAAATGTTTCTGGAAAATTCATTACAATGTCAATCTTTCATTATGCACAGTCCTGCTGAGATGAATGTGAAAATCATTTATACGTGGAGGTTAGTGTAGAGGGCAGCCCCATTTCAAAGGAAAGACCAGAAACCAACATTTTGAAATTGAGTAAAAAAAGAAAGAAAAATGGAGTGACTCGGCTGTTTCTGGTTGCATACCTTAAAAATTTTGAGAGTCCTTGCCAGTTTTGTAAGAAAGAGACCAATAATCATTAATGAGAACATTGTACATTGTTTAAGGTTTTTAAGGAACGTAATATTATTCCCTCGTTCAGGTTGATTTCAATGTGAAAATGTTTGGAACCAAATTCTTGTTATGCTGTTTACCCTGCTTCAAAGTAAAAAAGCCGAGTTATCAAATTCTCAATTACATCTTAATTGGTATCAACAGCAGGCTAAAGGAGAGGCATTGATTGTTGCTAACTTCTGCTTTTCTAATGAGTAAAATAGTATCACAATGACATAATCTTACAACAGGCCTACAGCCAAAATTTACTATGCTAATAATGGGTTTATTTTATTTACATTAAAAACATTCAAACTCTGTGATCTTGAGCCCCAATTCTCAGATTATTAATTATAGATTATTCAATTGTATTAGGAAATTGCTATGTTATATTTACTTTTGGATAAAACCTGCCTTGGCATAATTAAGTTTTTAAAATGTTAATTTGTCCTTGTTTAGAAGTTAAGCACCTTATCAAGATACTAATTTAAGTTTTAAAATCTTGTTTTATAACTTTGTAACTCGAGAGTAATGGATGCTGTAGTGATGTCTCTCACATATGTGAAGATGAACAATAAAATTGTTTATTTACAAGTAATGGCTCTAATTACTTTTCTGGCAACACCTTTTATGATAAGCTTAGGAACCTTTTCCATTTATGGAGTACCTTTGCAAATGACTAATGTGCACTTACACACATGTGTAATGAGTAAATTCAAGAGTAGAAATGATGACAAATAAACGGAACACTTGACACCAGCCCTTTTATGTGGTATGTCCACCATGCCATCTAGAGAGCATTCAAAGCTGCCCTAGATAATGCCAGTATACACTTTTTTTCTGCCAAAATCTGACTGCCTTGTATTTTAATGGGAGCAGAACGCTGCTTGATCCCCAGCAGTGATCTTTCATATTCTGGAGACCGCAGACTCGAGTCCAATGATCATTCCTCACAAAAGACAGGGATGTTGAAAGTTTCTTAGGGACAAGTCTATGGTTCAGAGTGCTATCAACTTGATTTTTTATGGAGGCCTATCTGAGTGTCGATATTTAAAAGTAAGAATGTACTTTTTAATATAAGAATATCAGAATGAAATACAGTACAGCATTCTAACACCACACATTACAAACCCATCCAATGTGGCCAGTTTCTGTTACCATTGGACACATTCACATACATTTTTACACATGTAGGACATTGTATTGCCAAATAAAGAACTGACAAAGTTCCAATTCTTTTTTAAAAGTATCAGTTGGCAGGAAGAAGGTAAAAACTCTCATCTAAGAATGCGACGTATTTTGTTTTTAAATCCAATGTTTTTAACTTACACTTGGTTTTACTCCTTGGTTTTTTTGTTGTTGTTGTTGGCTTGTTTTGTATTGTTTTTTAGTCTTTTAACTCTGTACTGCTGGTGGCTCTGATTTCATGATGCATTATGCTTATGAAACTCTAGCTTTCAGCACTAAAATGAGTTAAAGATAATGTTTCGTTAATTTGATCATTGTTTTCCTGTTGGGATCTTTCTTTAAAGGGAAACTGTCCACTTAGACTTCTGCATTCAACTTAATAAAGGAAATTATAAGAAAACACCTGAAAGTCAAAAATTTAAATGTACCTCTTTAATGCTCTAAGATATGAAAATGCTGTTTATTTACTTAATTATTATTAACGTCATTGGGAATTATGGCTTCAAAAGATGTATATTTCAATTTAATACTGAAAATATTTGTCCAGTAAGATAACATTTTATATTCTGAAATTACGAATAATACATTTTTTAAAGCCAAATTTAGACAAAGTTGACAGCATCCCTTTAAAGACAACCTATTCAACTTTTAGTTAATAATTTGTGGGGTTCTTTTTTGGTTTTTCATTTGTAATAGAAATGTTATATGTTGCTTAACAATGTTTTTGAATACTAAAGTTGCTTAACAGTCAAAATAGAGTGCAAGAACAAAAAAAAAATGAAGAAACCAAAATAAAAATATCAATTTTTTATTATTTATTCAGGCGATTTCACCTAAACCTCAAAGTCAGAAAAAAAATGAAGCTGACATTATCAGTTCTGCCAACACTCAGAAACCTGCACTGTTATCCTCCACCTTGTCTCCAGGGAAGGCTCGCAGCAAGAAATGCAAACACGAATCTGGAGATCCTTCCGGGTGTCTAAAGCCCCCTAACTCACCACTGCCCCCAGAATTAACCCAAGTCGAGGATCTGACGCTTGTGTCTCAGCTCTCTTCTTCAGTGATAAATAAAACTAGTGAGCACAGATTTTTAAGAAATAGTTCCTTATCCTATAAGATACCTGGACAACAGTTTGATTGTAGATATATATTGTATTTCTGTGAGATTGCTTTTTAAACATTCAAGCTTAAGCGGCTCTGATAGGGAAGGCTTGCAACTACTCCAGGGGCACAAGCCATAGACCTTTTTGGCGGATGAATTGTTCAGAGACTACTGCTGGTGGAGAGACCTCACCCTTTAATACCGCAAACTTCTCTCCAGCTTGATCCACTAATAATCTGAGCACCATGAGAGGCCTGATTCATTACAAAAAACAAAAGACGCGTGGCCCATCTTTTCCCCGAAGTCTTAGGCCTGGTCTGTGGATAGATGTAGTTGTCCCCACTTCCGGGGTCCCCTTCTGCAGCTCGTTTTATTTTTATTCCAGTGGTCAGGGTGCAAACCTCAGTTATTCTTACCAATGAGAGAAGAATACTTTTTGATCTTATTTTTTAAAGGTTTTACTGGTCTATCACCACTAATTGTCCAAGAGTTAACTTAGCCTTTTTAAAAATAGCCTTTCAACACGGGTTTGGTTGTATGTAAGACAGCATTGTGCTGACTCTTTCTCCTATGAGTTTGGTATTCTATGTTAGAAAAATAGGAAAACCAGTTAACCTGGAAAGTCACTTGGTAAAAGGCTTTTTCCTATTTGTGCAACAAATGAATAGTTCCCTGATTAGTAAATGAGTATTGCATGCTTCCTTATGGATTCTTCTGCATCATATCTTCTGCAACAATTAAAAATGTTGGTATTGAGAAGATTTTTTTTCCCAATCAAATACATTAATCTCTTCCATTCAGTTGCCATATTTTCAACTAAGCCACACATTTACCCATTTTTGATACTTTTTGGTTTTGGTTTTGTTCTTTTTAATAAATGGGTGGAAAAGATGGGAACAGAAAAATTCAAATGTTTCTTCATTATGGCATTTAGCATGAAATAATGTTAATAGTTGCAGCAATGTCACGACATTGTTTTATTTTGAAATAGTTTTCTATTTTGGTGGTATAACCACAGTGTGGCAGCAATTGAATTTTATCAAATTATCACCTTTGTTGTTTCAATTTTTGTAAAATTTTAAGTACCCAAAGCATCAGCTTCTTTAGACCATTTATTTCCTCACAAATTAATGTGACTGTATCGGCCGTATGAAATCCTGCCTGTTGGAAATAATCAAGCGTTTACATGCCACATAAAAAAAAAGAAAACTGAAGGTTACAAAAAGGAATTTTCAAACTTGTTTTACATAGCTCGAAATGCTTACGTGACTCACCAAGTTGTTAAAAACAAAACAGAAGAGCAAGAGTAGGGTCATTTTCTTCTAAAATCTTGCTTATTTGCCCATAAAAGATATTAAAGCTATGCTCAATTTTTTTTTTAATGAATCAGGCCCAAATATATGCTTCCAAAAATCCATGAAGGGGCGTGAGGGTGGGATGAAATGATTTACATTTGTTTTACTTGGGCAACTAAAGTAAAGCCTGACCCCGATGCATGTCAGATATTTGCCACCTCTGCCCCCGCCTCTTCCCCCCCGCTTAGAGTTTCAGACTGGTAATGTAGCAGAAGGGATCTATAGTTTTTAACCTTTGGCTATACAGAGACTGTTTTCCCAAAGGAAAAATGGCAACTAACACAACAATAAGCAATTAGCGAATGAACTGTAGTCTGCCGTGTGGGGAGTCTCCCTGGAATCCACGTTCCTGCTTCCTTCTTTTGATGCCGGCAGGCTCTGCCTTGGGAAGCGTTGATGAATGCTTTTTGTGAGGGCACCCTGTTTGCCTCTGATTACCTTCGGAACATGCCGTTCCTTGTGGATACCTTCCAGCATCAGAGGGCAGTCTATAATGCCTTTTCCCGCTGCTCTCAAATAGTGTAAGATGAGCCCGGCATGTGTCTGCTTCGTGAACATTGAAGATCTTTTTCTAGGTCCTCCACAGCCTGTGAGCTCCCCTAGACCCTCCAAGCATAGCGAGCGGAGACGAAGATCGCAGCGCTTAGCCACCCTGCCCGGGCCTGACGATTCTGTAGAAAAGCTGTCTCCTCCCTCTCCAGCCCCTGATGGCAGAGTCTTCCTCAGTGCTCAGAGCCAGCAGCAGGCTTCAGTACCAGATGGTAATGTATATTGATTTCCTACAGAGCCAAACGTAAAGGAAGATAAAGGAACTCTAAGAGACAGAGACTGTTAAAATATTAAGAAGTTTCTGCTTCTTCCTTCTTACATCCTTTGGACTTAAAAGAACTTCGTGTGTTCTACAAGTAGTTACCCCATGCTGCTTTGTGCCAGGCAGGCACTGTTTAGCTCACGTGCCATATAAGTCCACGTGGATATGACCTGAGCCAGTTCACCTGTGTTAATACTCTTGTCACGTTCTGTATTTTGTGTAGTGCCTGATGTTGCACATTTGTCACTTGAGAAGCTGGGACCCTGCCTCCCTCTTGACTTAAGTCGTGGTTTGGAAGTCACAGCACCGCTAGCTTCAGACCCCTCTTACCATAATGAGTGTGCCAGGGCAGACAAGGAGGATACACAGATGCTCACAAATCCTTCCAAAGCCACACCTGATGGGAGAGGAGCCCCAACGGCCTCAGGTAACAACTCATTTTCTATGCGGCGAGGCTCGCAGTGATAGGCTGTAGACATTGGCATGCATAGCTGCATTACTGGAATATGTAATTCTCTTAGAATACTCTTATGTAATGTCTGTGGGAGATAGGGGCTCTCTGTCTGTTTAAAGTTCTTTTGTGCCGTCATTTGCTGTTATATGTCCTGGACATACTTCTTACTTTGTCACTTTAATCTACTTCTCCCTGTCTGCCTCTCTCTCCCTCCCTCCCTCCCTTCTTTTCCTTTCTAATTTAAAATTTTCAACTACAGTTGCCATTCAATTTTACATTAGTTTCCGGTGTACAGAATAGTGATTAGGCATTTATATAACTTACGAAGCGATACCCACTGTCCGTCTAGTACGCACCTGGCACCATGCATAGTTATTACAAATGCTTTACATTCCCATGACTCTTTTGTATTGCCAATTGGAACTTCTAATCCCTTCACCTTTTCACCCCTTCCCAGCGCCCTGGCAATCATCAGTTCTCTATATCTGTGGGTTTGTTTCTGTTTTATTTATTCATTTATTTTGTTCTTTTAGATTTCCACATATTACTAAAATCATATGGTATTTGTCTTTCTCTGACTGATTTATTTCAATTAACGTAATACCCTCTAAGTCTGTTCATGTAGTGCAGATGGTAAGATTTTATATTTTATGGCTGAGTATATATTTCATTGTATGTGTATACCACATCTTTATACAGACATCCATACAGTGGGCATTTGGGTATTGTTTTCTTATCCATTGAGCCACCCAGTGTCTTTTGATTGGAGCATTTAATCCATTTACATTTAAAGTAATTGATGGAAATGTAGTTATTTCCATTTTATTATTTATATTTTTAATTTTTATTTTTCTTCTTAAATAAGTCCCTTTAACATTTTCTGTAATACTGGTTTGGTGGTGGTGAACTCCACCTGCTTTTTCTTATCTGAGAAGCTCTTTATCTGCAATTCTAAAACATAGCTTTGCTGAGTAGAGTAATCTTGGTGGCAGGTCCTTGCGTTTCATCACTTGGAATATTCCTTGCCAGTCCCTCTGGCTACAAAGTTTCTGTTGGCCAGTCAGCTGAAAGTTTTAAGAATTTGTTTCTGTACATAACCAACTGCTTTTCTCCTGCCGCTTGGTCTTCAACCTTTGGCATTTTCACAGTGCTGTGGCCTGGTGTGGACCTCTGTGTTCCGTGATGCAGACTCCGAGTCACCTGAGTTGGTGCTCCAGGGTGTCCTTATGTGGGTTGTGTGCCCTCTTGTTGTAGTTGTAGTGACTGCTGCTGTCACATCCTGGGTGGCATTGACCCTCAGGCTGGCTGGCGGTGAGCACTGGCTGTGACTGTAGCTAGTGTGCAGGGGCTGGCCCCATGGAGTGGATTGACTTTAGCAGGACTCGGGTGCCTGAGGAGTCCGCCCTTTGGGCGTGTCCTTTGTGGAGCTCAATGGGGGTGCTTTGAAGCTGGCCACTGGATGTGTTTCTTCTGGGCCCTCTTAGGCAGAGCTTCCGTGCAGGCCTAGGTCAGCTGCTGCCTGTGCTCAGCCTCCAGCCGCCTGGTAGGAGCTACAGAGTGATCTGAGCTTGGTAGCTGCCTGTACGGGGCTTGGAGATGTTTGTGAGACGCTATGTGGGAACTGAGGCCAGTTATCTCTAGTGTTGGATTTGGGGCTGCTTAGCAAGAAGCACAGGCTTCCGAGGCCAGGTGCTGCTTGTTTGGGGTTTGTGGGTCTCCCAGAGATTTTAGTGAAGTCCACAGCATGGGCACTTGTTTGTAAGAACCACTGAGCTGGCCTGTGTGCTTGTTGGGTGGGCGGAGTCTCAGGGTGGGGTAAGTGTGTTTGAGACCCAGATTCGGTTTCCACCTATGCCTGCCAGCTCAGCAAAGGAGAAAGATGTTGGAGGAAGCAGCCCTTCCAGCCAGCCCTGAAGCAGACGGTCCAGTTCTTCCCCACTGTCTCTGGCGCTTTCCAGCGGCTGCCCAGGGCTGGAGCCATGCTGAGTGCAGCTGTCAGCCAGGGAGTCCTTGTGGGCCCTTTAGAGCAACGCCTGGGACTCCAGAGCCCTCCCTCATCTGGACTGAATCCCGCTGATTCTCACAGCCAGAGGCTGTGGGGCCTTCCCAGCACTGGGGCCCAGGGCTGGCGAGCTTGGTGTGGGTCTGGGAACCCTGGCTCCTGAGGGGACCCCTGTAGCCCAGCTCTCCTGAGTTTTAATACCATATGTGGGTGTGGGACCAGCACCTCTTCCTGGCCCTGACCCCCCACCCCCACCACTTTCAATGTGGCTTCTTTGTAGCCTTAGTTTTTGGACTTTTGTTCTACTAAAAGGTGATCCTCAAACTCTTGTTCTACTGAAAGGTGATCCATAATGTGGCTAAAATTTTGATGTGGTCGAGAGATGCACTGTTGGTTTAAATGTACTTTGAACAATTAGATAGTAAAACTGAAATGTCATTAAGGTTGGATATTTTTAGTGTCAATAAGCCATTGTATTTACATTTAGATAAAGACCAAAAACACTTTGTCAAGTGATTCCACCTTGTCTTTTATCATTAGGTAGCACCGCATTTATGATGGCATTCAAAAACAAGTTTGTAGGCAACAGAGTTTAAATATTAGTTGAAAAATTTTATACAGGTTGTTGAAAACCGGTATTCTTTAATATAAGCTTACTATTTCCCTGGACGAGCTGACTACCCTTATGTCAGAACTGCCATGGAAGCCGAGATGCCACATGGGCCTGCCATTTCAGCATCTGAATTGCCCACGGCGGGGCCGCAGTGGGTCTCCACTGATTGCCTCGTGCAGTTAGCTTATCGCATTTCTTCACGTTTAGACCCATGGTTATTCTAGAAATGATCTAGGCTCCAATGTTTCCCCCCAACAGAGTTTACACACTTTGGCACATAGTCCTGGCAATAGCACAGAGTAGACACTGTCTTTCCTCTTTGGCAGGCAAGGCACTGAAGTTCAGAGACTGGCAGAAATACTCTAAGCAAGTGGTCGGCAAACTCATTAGTCAACAGAGCCAAATATCAACAGTACAGCAACTGAAATTTCTTTTGAGAGCCAAATATTTTAAACTTAAACTTCTTCTAACGCCACTTCTTCAACATAGACTCGTCCGTGGTGTTTTGTGGAAGAGCCACACTCAAGGGGCCAAAGAGTTGCAGGTGGCTCTCAAGCCTTGGTTTGCCATCACTGCTCTAGGTCATAAGCTAACAGTAGAACCAGGAGTTTAGTCTGTTAGTCTGAGGAGCAGAAATCACCCTTAATTTATCAGTTCTTCAAAGTAAGAAGTCTTTTGTTTATGTTACTACCGTGTTTCCCCGAAAATCAGACATCCTCCGAAAATAAGACCTAGCGCAACTTTGGGAGAAAAAATTAATATAAGACACTGTCTTATTTTCGGGGAAACAGGGTAGTTAGGCAATAAAATCATGGAGTCCTTGGGGGGAAAGAGTCTTAGGGAGAGTTTTTGGTGATCGGTTGTAATTTAAAACACTTTAATAATTTTAACCCTCTCTGACTAAACTTATGTATTTTCCCCCTAAACCTGCAGGAATATCGAAAACAGAAAAAAAAGTGAAATTGGAAGAAAAAAGCGCCACAGCATTTGGTATGAACAGAAAGTAAAATCTTTACGCAAAAGACTAAATGGCTTGGCAGTGGGAGGACTTGGTCTGTCCCTGACTCTTCCCTGGTAGTGCTCCTTACGGCGGGAGCTGTGTCTGAGCTTTACTGGTGGTGTCCTCTCCAGGTGCAGGATTTCTGTCATGCGGATCTCACAGCACTGTGTGTGTGTTTGACAATGGACTTCAAGGCTTTCTCAGAACTGCGTGTTTAACCATCTCTAAATCTGTGGCTATTTAAAAATAAGCTGCCATTGAATATTGTTGATACTTTGAGAATAAATAGACATTTTCCCCAGACTGTCTTCTTTAAGCTATCCTCTAAAAAAGTTACTAAGTTTTGTGCTGTCTTTTCTAGCAGCTATGCTATAATGTCTAGAAGTTTTGGAATAATGGTGACAGTCTTAAATATTCTCCAGGTCAGCTACTGGAGTGTGGTCCCTGGTTGTTGATTAAACCTGGGTGATAAATCGCAGACTAACCCTTTCTGAGTTGGAACAAGAGTTGAATATCTGGGGTGGATTAATTTTAAATAAAATATTCTAGGATACTGCTTTAACTGCCATTTATTTTCTTTAAAGTACACATGATTGGGTACAAGGAAATTTTAGGAAAAGTAAGTTTAATGAAATACATTTTTTCTTTGTGTTTTTAGTTTCCACTCTTGTACACACTGGGGAAGTATTGAAAGACTGAAGGAATTACTTATGGGTTGGTTTAATCTGTCTCATTTTTCCAAAGTAAAGAGATCATCAAGTTTTCTTTGATCTTCTAGTATAATTTTATTAATTCATATGTGGAAATGCTGAGTCTCCTCAGATGGTCTGAACTTGCGGAGCTCATTTCTTGCCACGTCAGGAAGCTGAGTTATATTCCTCATTTAAAGATGTTAACTACTGTCTGTGTTAACTTCAAGGTGTCAGGAGTTGGGATTCTCAGCACTGCTTATGAAGACCCCTCTTATAGTCCAATAGGCTCATCAGGAGCTCCAGACTCAGGACAGGAACAGTTTAATTGAACCCATCACTCTGGGCAGGTGACTGGAATAGCTGATTCAAACATAAATGCTGCTTTTAGGTTAACCACAAAGGAACCACTCAGGACTGGGCTGATTCCTGAATCGCTCACTCTTTTCATTTAGGTAAGAGAAAAGAAAAGGATAAAGAACGGAAAGAGAAGAGAGACAAAGACCACTACAAACCAAAACAGAAGAAGAAGAAGAAAAAGAAAAAGAAATCTAAGCAGCATGGTAAGTGTATTAAAATGGTGATTGCCTTTTTTTTTCCTTTTCCAACTTTCCTCTCTTCTTCTACCAAAGTGGAGGTAGAACAAGACCCCTTTGTGGATGAGAACTGAGAAGTTCCTGCAGCTTTCCTCTGTCTTGATAATTTTGAAAACAGGAGCTAGGTTTATAAATTAAGCAGTTTGTAAATTAATCTTTGCAAAAATGAGAGACTTCCATTCCCACCTTAGGGTGGACAAGATGCCCTGACAGGCGCCCTTGAGTGGACTGAAGGAGTTATGCTCAATCTAGACTTTCATAGTGTCTTGAATCAGCTTTCAGGAAAACCAGTGATAGGCTCTCGGATAGCCTGCCAGACCCAGTTGATGAGACACAGAATCACCTAGCTAGGCGTGGATGGGAAGAGGAAGTGGTGGCGTGATCCTTATGTGCCTACAACATGACCTCATTGCCTTTATAGCGACTCCTCTTGACTACTGGGCACTGCACTCTTCCTCTGTGTGTCTTGCCTTGTAGACTATTCAGACTATGAAGACAGCTCCCTGGAGTTTCTGGAAAGGTGCTGCTCCCCGCTGACCCGGCCCTCGGGGCCCTCCCTGGCGCTGCGCAGCATGTTCACGGAGAAGAACACGTACCAGTACCCGCGGGCCATTCTGTCGGTGGACCTCAGCGGAGAAAGTATGTGAGCGAATGCTTACCGCAGGTCTCAGTTCTGAAATGTAGTCTGAGGGTAGAATGTGCTTTTGGAGGGCCTTTCTGAGCACAGTTTGAAAAGTTCTCTCTAAATGGAAATGTCAGCATCGGAAGTTCCAGCTACTTTTCGATGCGTATAAAGTAAAATGGGCTTTATACTTAGGAGGTCAGTCGGTAGGAAGAAACTATCAGTTTCTATCATATTCTGCTTTTCTGCAGGTGTTTTTACATCTGTTTTCATATTCCTCACCACCAGCTTATAACAACAGTTCTGATCTCCATTGCTTAGGTAAACAGGCAGAGGCTGTTTATAAATCAAGCAGCTTTTTGGGTTAGTTAGTGTTAGAATTAAAAGGTTGATCTTAACTCCAAAGATAGTTCTTTTTCTCCAAATGTTTATCTTAGTCTTAAAAATGGATCTCGAACTGTTTCATAAAAGAATTGTAAAGGAAGGAAGAGAGAGAGAGAAACATCAGTGTGAGAGAAAGCCCCTGCTTGGCCTTGCTTGCTCAGTATGTTCCCTCCCCACGGAAACAGGACTGTGCTGAGGGCCCCTTTCTGTGTGTCTAGACTTGACCGACGTGGAGTTCCTAGATGACTCTTCCACGGAGAGCTTGCTCCTGAGTGGGGACGAGTACAATCAGGACTTCGACTCCACCAACTTCGAGGAATCTCAGGACGAAGATGATGCTCTCAATGAGATCGTGCGCTGCATTTGTGAAATGGACGAGGAGAACGGCTTCATGATCCAGGTGAGCCGCCTCCCCGAGGAAAGAGGGAGAGACTTCAGGGCTCAGCCAGTGCGAGGCACGTCTGTGTTCTCCTCCTCACTGTGCAGCGGGGGGCAGAGGTTTCTGACGCAGCGTGGTGTGCACAGGGCACACTCTCCCTGTGCCCGGGTGGTTAGTGCGCGGCCCTCACGTGGCAGTTCCTTTCAGGAGCCATTCGGATGGGTGAGCGTCCCCTCTGATGGCGGACCTACCCTCCTCCTGCTGGTCTGCATCCCTGTTACATGTGTGTCTCCCTCCACCGGCAGCCGCGGACACAGTCCCACTGGTCCCCAAGGGCAGAGGGCAGATAGCTCTCCCTGCGGACAGAGCAGCTCTGAGAGAAAAGGGAGGCAGAGCAGCGTTTGTGATGCCTCTTGGGATGTTTGGAGATGCCAGTTGCAGAAATAAAAATAGTAACCTCCTTTTTTCTCCCCCTTTCCGTAGTTTTCTCAAATAAGAAAACTACTGATTTATAGGCGGTACTTTAAGAGATTATTGTTACAGGCACTGCTATAAGCTTGCCTTTAATTTTTTTTCTTCACTTTAATAAGCTATTCTTAAGAATTTAAAACACGTAATTACCTAAAACCAGTGGGAAATAGATGAGAGAAATAGTTCATGACTTTTTGATGAACCAAGTAATTTATCAGAGCATGTTCTAATTGGTGTAGCGGGAGGGAGTTCCCCACAGAGTTGACTGTTTCCGAAATGAGATTGGTCCTCAGCGCTCAGGGTGTGCTGTGCAGAGGAGGGCTGCGGGAGGGCCCTGGGGGGGCGGGCCCGCATGATGGCTCCTCTGTCCCGCAGTGCGACGAGTGTCTGTGCTGGCAGCACAGCGTGTGCCTGGGGCTGCTGGAGGAGAGCATCCCAGAGCAGTACACCTGCTACGTCTGCCGCGACCCTCCCGGTAAGACACCCACCCCCGGGCCCCACTCCCCTCCCCGCCGGTCTGGTGCGGAACCCATGGACGGCAGCTGCACAGAGCGCCGCTCCTTCCTTGCTGCTCAGACTCCGCTTCTGTCTAAGATTCTCAGGCAGTTTTCTTATTAATGACGTAGGCAGACATTCCCATAAGTTCACCCTCATGGCACCGCCTGGCTGGAAGGGCAGCTCAGCGTTTTCCTGGGGCAGAACCACCCTTCCTGTGCTCCTGCGCACTCCTCTGAGGGCCTGTGCCTGGCTCTTCCCGGAGGCTTTCCTGGGCGTGCTCTCCTGCCCTGGTTTTGTCAGGTCCCCGTAGAGCTGTGCACCCAGCGAATTTCAGGGCAGGGGGGACCTCAGGTGATCACATGTGGTTCCTTTATTTCATGATGAGGCAACTCAGGCACGAAGGTGGAATCTCTTGGGCACAAGAACAGACTTGACATGGCAGGACTTGACATGACAGCCGCTCAGGGCGCTGTCCCAGAGGCCGTCCTCCCTCAGGCTCTCAGAGGAGCACTTCTGCACTGTCCATACTCCCTGCTTCCCGGGCTAATGGAAGCTAACAAGGTGCTTTCATGTCTGTCAGAAAGTGCAGCCAGCTAAGCAGGCGGACATGCAGGCAGACATTTGCCCATTTCGTCAGCGGCATTGACTGCATGCCTCTGTCTGAGGCACCGGGCAGAGGCCAGCTGACTCATTCTGATGACACCTCCTCTTTCTGACAGTGCAGTGGGGGACACAGACACACAATGGATAGTGGGATATAAATCCTGTTGACATCAAAAGTACAAGATTACATAGGGTTCTGCCGGGTTTCAGCCATGGGGAGGGGTCCCTAGTTTCTTGTCTATAACTCGCCTTTATCCAGGTCACAACAGTTGAGTGACAGGCAGGTGTCACGTCTCATTTCTGTCCAGCTCTCAGCCTGTTCAGAGGGCAGATGGCAGGTGCATGCAAAGTGGAAAGCAGTGCACACAAGGTTCCCTCCGCTGGGTCCTCTGTGGCCAACACTCCTCATGGGGCCTGTCCCTGGGGGCAGGGTGTCCTGTGCCCACCCTCAGAGCCCTGTGCCTGCTTCAGTGTGTCTTCACTGCTCGCTGAGGACGCTCGGGTGGCAGCTGAACAGACTCCTGAGGCGTGGGCCCTTGATCACTAATGCCCGTTCCCCCCACAGGGCAGAGGTGGAGCGCAAAGTACCGCCACGACAAGGACTGGCTGAACCACGGGAGGATGTGTGGGCTGTCGTTCGTGAAGGAGAATTATTCTCACCTCAATGCCAAAAAGATCGTCTCCACACACCACCTGCTTGCTGACGTCTACGGCGTCACGGAGGTCCTGCACGGCCTGCAGCTGAAGATCGGCATCCTCAAGTGAGTGGGTGGCCGGGCTGGGCCTGCTCAGTGGGGAGTCTGATGCAGACTGAGCCGCATGGCCTTCTGTCGATTCCGACCAGCAGAAGGCAGAATCATTACTGAACACATTGTAGCTTAAAAAGAGGAAAGATTCATAACGTCTTGCATGTGGTTATGTGGACAGTGCCTATCAAAGTAAAGGTGTGCATATAGTACTGGGCAGTTCCATAGCTAGAACTTTCTCTGGCTGACACATTACCACCCGTGTGCAAATATACACACGCCTGTCGGGGGCAGTTGGCTGGGTGATTAGACTGTGTACAGTAAGGAAACCTGGCAGGATGGCCAGGCGTGTAACATCCCGGGGAAGGCAGATGGTGAGAGCTCTGTGTGTGGGAAGAAAAGGTGCACGCTGGCCCGTTTGAGAGAATTCTGTGTGTACAGGAAAAGCCCGGGACCGCACCTTGGGGACACGAGTGTGTGTGGCAGGCGTTTCATTCTGTCCACAGTGTAGTCAGAAGATTTCGTCCTGGGCAAGTATCACTTTTTGATTGAATAAAGATTATAAAATGATGCTCACATAAAAGTTTTTCATATCATACCATGCAAAAATAGTATAGTGAGAATTCAGTAGAAAAAGAAGTCCATATATTAATAGAATTAAATTCATGGTTGCTTTTCTCCCTGAATACTGCTTCTAATTGTGAAAATTCAAATTGTGGGTGACATGGTGGGGCAGATGAACCACAGAATATCTTTGCTTTTGTCTTGAGTCCCGACCTCCGAACCTGGCTCCCAGGGTGAGAGTTTGGGTCAGTGGGCCTGCAGCAGGCACTCCGCACAGAGGCAGCAGCACCAAGCTCGCTGCGTCATTCTAATTGTGAAGCTTACTATGCTTGTACTTGTTGCTAGATCTTTTTTTTAAGTGCTGTTTCTCCAACTTTGTTTTAAGGAATAAACACCATCCTGACCTTCATCTCTGGGCCTGTTCTGGGAAGCGGAAAGACCAAGACCCAGTCACGGTGGGGGCAGAGAAAAAGGTACCAGTGCCAGACACGGTGCCTCCTGCGGAGAAGCAGCACCACGTGCAGAACCACAAGGAGCCGCCCCGGCCACCCCTGAAGGCGGAAGGGACCTACATCATCAGCGAGCACAGCTACCAGAAGCCGCCGGCCGGCCGGGACTGCAGAGCTCCCGCGGACCCCGGCAGCTCCGAGGAGGAGGAGCTCAGCAGCTTCGGGGAGGAGCAGGAGCTGTACCTGAGGGAGCGACGCCGTGTGCAGTGCCCAGGCAGAGAAGCTGGGGCGCCTGCACAGGTAGGACTGTCCCCATGTCTGGGAGGGACACGTGCTGGATCAGCAGAGGGAGAGACAGTCCCCGCCTGAGTCCCAGGGCTCGCTCCCGTTTCCCAGTGTGCCGTGCCTCCTGGGGGAAAGACAGTCCCTGCTTTCTCGACAAGAAAACTTGGGCCCTTTGCACATTGAATTGTCCGCTGAGTTCGAATTGTAGTATTTCAGTGAACTTTTGCCCTAACGAAAGTTTTAATTTTATAAGCATTCCTAGATTCCCACATTTTATTCCAAATGGAAATGTCTGGGGGAGAACAGGAACATGCACATGGGTGTGTATATATTAATAGAATTTTTCTTTTTTATGTGTAAGATAAAAGGTGGCACTTTATCCTCTTTTAAAAAAGAAAGTTAGCATATTTGTATATACATATCAGCTCCATCATGCGGTAAGTGAATTCCAGAGCTCTGTGTCCAGTGAATATCTATAAAGCTTCTGCTCACAGGGATTGGCAGGGATGGGCCTCCATCTTCACAAAGGCGAATTTAAATTCACAATGCCACTGTCACGTCAGTCCTCTATTGTCTGGCTCCCTGTGTCAAGTAATCGCCATCAATAAATATTTGGCTGAACTTGGGAAGATTGCATTTCATAAAACTTGTGAAATTATTGTCAAATTAATATTACTTTTGTGAAATGGGTTATTTCTGAGTTCAGATTTGGTGTGTGTACACCAAGCAGTTTGCACTTAAGTTTTTAAGAGTTTTCTCTTGGCCTCATTGATTTCACTGCATCAGGCCAGTCCCCCCTGCAGTGAATTAGACTTTAAACTGGTCTTTGCCAGCTTTCTTGATTTTTCCATCATTGCTGTTTGCCTGCCATGTGTGTGTGTCATCAATTAAGACGAATTGAGGGAGGGGTCAGTCTGAATTAGCTGGACATTCTAATTATAGACGCATTAGTGAGTTCATTTGTTTATCGAGTTTCAGTCAATACCTTTGATGCTGCGTGACATTGTGGGGAGATGGAGCGGAAATGTCTGCTCTTATCGACCGTCAGCTGTCATTGGTTATAGGCTAGACTGCCTTAAGAATAGTCTAGGAACTCGATTGGATTTTGCTGATCTTGGTGGGGATGAGGTTTATAATGTATCTTTTCCTTTATGACGGTACATCACATCCAACTCTTTGTTTTTTCAATGTGTTTTGGCGAAGAATGCAGCTGAAAAGAATATGGTGTTTGTTTATAATGATAAAAAGGGCTCTGAAGACCCAGGAGACGCACACCTGCAGTGGCAGCTCAACCTCCTTACGCACATCGAGAACGTGCAGAATGAAGTCACCAGCAGGATGGATCTCATAGAAAAAGAAGTTGATGGTAATTTAAGGACAAACTAAAATGTAGTTACTGCAGCGTGTGATTATGAAGAAGTTGTTTCAGGCTTTTTTTGTTGTTAATCCTCATATGAGAATATTTATCCATTGATTTTAGAGTAGAAGGGAGAGGGAGGGAGAGAGAGAAACATTGATGTGAGAGAGACCCTGATCAAGGCCTGGGATCGAGCCTGCAACGAAGGTACATGCCCTTTGATTGGAATTGAACCCAGGACCCTTCAGTCCTTGGGCTGATGCCCTAAGCACTGAGGTGTTTAAGGCTTTTTAAATTGGGGGGTGGAGATTGCAGGTGCTGGCATGCCGGGGGTGCTCCCTCACTCCCTTTACATGTGCTGACACAGCTAGCATGGCGGTCTCCAGGCTTGGGACAGTGTGACTGCATAAATCTTAGGGTTTGTGTTTTAAGGGGGATAATTATGAAATATTGCCCTGTGCCTGCTCACAGTAACTATTAATTTAGGCTTAAACTGTCTCTACTTCATTTTAAGGGAAACTTAGCTGCTCTAACCAGAAATTTGTTTTTAACAAAGGAAAGTAGGTGGCAATCTGTGTCCTTTTCAATTCTAATTACTTTTTAAAAACAAACATACTAAGAGTCTAGGCAGAATGCAATTAATTTGCATTCTACAATTTTTATTAACAATAATAGGGGATAGTGTCACATTTCTTTTCTCTCTCTATTCCATGAGAGAGTAAAAGGAGACATTCACATTGGAGTTAATTTGCCCTAGCCATTTTTGCTCAGTGGATAGAGCATCTGCCTGGCGACCAAAGGGTCCCAGGTTTGATTCCTGTCAAAGGCATGCCTGAGTTGTAGGCTCCTCCCCAATAGAGGGTGTGCAGGAAGCAGCCAATCAATGATTCTCTCTCATCATTGATGTTTCTACCTCTCTTTCCCTTTCTGAAATCAATAAAAATATATTTTCATAAAATAACAAACTTAATTTAAACACATATGAAGAGAAAAATTACCTAAAATCACAGTAGGTTAAACTTACCAAGAGGGACTCCAACCCTTGTGGGATAAGATACAAAGGTTGCTAAATGCCATGCATATTGGCCTTCTACAAAAAGGGAAGTGAACTGCCTCCATCATGTTTGTAGCCTTCTCATTATACCAGTTTGGGCTGGTCTTCTAGTTCCATTCAGACATGTTGGTTCTCTCTTCTAGTTCTGGAGAGCTGGCTGGACTTCACAGGGGAGCTGGAGCCGCCCGACCCGCTCACGAGACTGCCCCAGCTTAAGCGCCACCTCAAGCAGCTGCTGATGGACATGGGCAAGGTGCAGCAGATCGCCACGCTGTGCTCCGTATGACACTGCGCTCTGACCGCCGAGCCTGCCGGGGAGGGCGGGCGCCCTCCGGTGCGGTGGCCTTCACTGCCCACGTGGCTGCTGGGTGGGCAGTAACAGCGCAGGGCTGTTTGGTCACGTCCTGATTGGTGACATCATAGCCCGGCACCTTGAAAAGGAAAATGAAGAACAACTTTATCAAGGATGCTCATGTGAAAATCAATCTAGGAGCAAGCTACAATGAAATTGCCAAGATCAGTGGAAGTGGAATGGACTCTACGAAGGGAATTGAATGGGCAGGGTTCCTGAGTAGTGGATTACATAAAACTCAAGCCACCATAGAAAGAAATGTGGTGTATCGATCTAGTTTGTAGCAGGAAGATCTTTGTTTATAAATCAGCATTTGGCCAAAAATACCCCAAACATATCTAGAGGGGAAACCCAAGTTTGAGAGTTCTGTAATTGCCATGAGAGCCGTCTTCCCTGCAGCTGACCAGCTGCATGGAGACGGGCTGTTCCACTGCTGAGGAGCATGAGCTGTTTCTCAGGTGAGGAATATCCTGATCGGAAAACTGACGACAGCAGCCTCACTTCCGGGGAGAGCAGAGGTGGAGTTCGCCTCACTCCGATCGGATTTTAGGAGCAAACACCAGGCAGTTGGAGTTCATTGCGGACACTGAGCTCACTGAAAACAAAAGGGGCTGCAGGACGGTCAGTGTGCCAAATTCGGATGATCCGGCCGGAAGGAGGATTTTAGGTGTCACGTGAGTTGCCCCCCACGTCTTGCAGATGCCACAGGCCTTCAGAAGCGTGCATGTCACTGCACTGTATGCGACACACAGGCGATGACAGCATGCACGCTTCACGCACTGACTGGTCCCGCCTGTGCTCCATGTTTCCTCCGGAAAAGCCACGGGAAACGCCCTCAGCGGGACGAGGCAGGGAGCAGCCGGACGGCCTGGCGGGGCTCCTGACCGCTGGTAGTGGAATACTGGAAAAGCTGCGTTTCTGAAGATGAATTTTATTTTTAAAAATACATGCACACTCAGAACTTTTCACTCTGATCACAGATGGACCCGTTTCTGAAACCAAAGGCAACTAAGTTGCTGCGTCAGCTCTTGCTGGGCTCCGAGCCCGTCCCGCCCGCAGCGCCTGTGCGCCTGCACATGCTCACGCAGGGATGCGGCCGTGTGGACGCCTGTTTGAAGCAAACACTCGGCGTACATGTGTACATAGCCCACACATATTTATATCTACATATCTAGTTTTATTACTATAGACTCTACGAATGGGTGGTTAACATGAAATGTTACCTTTTAACGAGACTGTTTTTAAATTTAAAAATGTATGTACAGGTTTTGGAGCTCTTTAAAAAGGGGGGCAGGCTGTTTTCAGAGGAGGCCGTTCGATGACATGACACTTGAATATTTTACGCCTCGTTCTGTGGATCAGTTCTAGCGGTCGTTCTGACTGAGAGGCAGGAAACTTGAATTTATCTTTGATAAGAATTCATGCCACTGTACATTCAGATGTTATTTAAATTTGCAAACACACTGTTCTATATGTAAGGTACTGTATGTAAACACTTTATTAAAATGATTCCACATACCTGGCGGCTCCCGCTCGCCTTATATGTTGATGTGAAGATGATGAGAAGGACGTACTGCACAGTGGTTAGCACTGTCTTGCCCCTGAGGTTCTGAGCCTGACACAGGTGCCACGTCCGGCAGACAGAGCCCATCCTGGGTGTCCCTGCCACAGGAGCTTCGTCAGACTCCACTGAGGCGTGGCAGCTTCAGTAGAAGTGACACTGGAGAAGGTGCTTAAACTTGTACATTAAAGTAAAAACCATGTGCCTGTATGCCACATGTGGAGCAAATCAATGTATTTCAAGATTGGTACTGTGCCTTCCACCTGTGCTTAAACACAGCTCTCCTCTTCTCCCTGGTGCGGTTATAGCTTGGACAGGGAATGTCTGTCTCCCTTTCCTCAGCAGTGGCAGAGCCTCCTTACCCTGGGAGTGCCTGGGATGGTGCCTGGATTCCTGTCCCACCCAGAGAAGCCCCCCTGTGTCCAGGGGCACCCCCCTCTCAGTGCCGGGCTGTGGTAATGCATCTTGTTCTTGTGTCTTCAAATGAGACCACTTAGTTTGTCAGCAGCCAGCAGACCCGGAGTTCCAGCCATAGGTAATTAAGTGGCTGAAATTTTGCTCTCTTCAGTGTGAGTTGGAAGTCTGAATTTTTAAAGCTAATATGTCAGAACACTTCTGTAGACATATCCAGTCAATGCAGAGGATCGATGGATGCCTTTTAGCAACTAGCGGGCTGAGTGTGCCTTGGTTAGGAGGGTGTGAGTTCACTGTGAGAAGTTCCAGGTGAACTGGTTTCCAGTCTTGTACAAAGTGCAAGCACATCCATATAACTGCTGGCCAGCTAACGGTTCATTGTGACCCAGAGAGGATGGGAGGAGCCTCGGGAGGGAGCGGCCATTCTCAGTGTGAGGCTGAGAACTAACTTGTGCCCCCGCACACTGCTGTGGGGTCCTGTGAGCCACTCTTTCCAAACTTGGGGCAGCGCCTCTTCCTCCGAGGGCTCTTGGTGATTCTCATCCTCTCAGGCCACGTCCCCTTGGCCACACTCACTTGCAGGGCTTCCTCTCGGTGTTCTGTTCTGCATGTCCCACGTGGGGCCCGTTTCCCTTCAGCCCCCGCGTCTCCTGCCGACCTCTCTGCTGACACGTCACCCCAGTACCTGCTTGAAACTCCCCCCCAACCCCCCGTCTCCGTTTCATCACTGGATGTGCCGGGCCCTCGTGGGTCCGTGTCTCCCTGCTTCCCGGTCCCACGGGCGGTCCACCATTCTTCATAAAAACGGTGTGCAGAAGTGTCACCGCTGGCATGTTAACTTCCGGTCACTTCCAGCATGATGCTAAGCGAAACAGGCCGGTCTGAGAAAGACAAACACCCCACACTCTCACTTACTGTGGAATCTAATGAACAAAATGAAATGACCCACAAAATGAGACCTGAAGCACGGAGGCCTGGGACAGACTGACCCCTCAGTGTGGGGTGGGGGGTGAGAGGAGATAAACCAAAGACCTAGACTTACAGGCCCAGCCATGGACACGGGCAACAGGTGGTGAACCCGGGAACAGGGAGTGGTGGAGGGAGTCAAGGAGAGGGAAAATAGATCTGTAACACTATCACCAATCAAAATACAAGAATTAAAAAAATAAATCCGATTAATTCTGGAAGAAAACCCAACCAGCACAGCCACTTCCCGGCTAGAGGAGTAATGGGCCACAGACCGAGGGCCAGCTCCATGCTGTGTTCTGTGCGTGTTACCCGCCCTCTCCGACTCGGCTGATGCTCCACGTTGGCATTCTCCTGCTCCTTGGCATGACGAGTGGTTTCCGTCAAAGCCTGGACGTGGGTGTTGCGCTAAGAAATCCTGGATCTCGGGACCGGTGTGGCTCAGTGGGTAGAGCGTCGGCCTACGGACTGAAAGGTCCTGGGTTCGATTCCGGTCAAGGGCATGTACTTTGGTTGCGGGCACATCCCCAGTGGGGGGTGTGCAAGAGGCAGCTGATCGATGATTCTCTCTCATCGCTGTTTCTCACTCTCTATCCTTCTTTCTTCCTCTCTGTGAAAAATCAATAAAATATATATAAAAAAAGAAAGAAAGAAAGAAAGAAAGAAAGAAAGAAAGAAAGAAAGAAAGAAAGAAAGAAAGAAATCCTAGATCTCATTGGAACTGTCCGTTCAGTAGAACTGACAGCACTGAGGGGCGGGAGGGCACCCCTCATTGCTGCCCGGTGGGAGGCGGGGAGAGCAGGAATCCAGGTTCTTGCCCCGCCTCCGCTGACACCCGCAGGGGACAGGCCCTGGTTCCTGTTGGTGGGCGGGTGTTAGGTTCCCATGAGACCTTCAGTGACTCTGCTGGGGTGGGGGGTGATGCTCCTACCTGTCCCGGGCCCCTTTGGACACCACCCGCCGGGAGGGGAGAGGGACACCTTATGGTCACCACCGGGAGCGGTGAGGCCTCCCTGTCTTGCCAAGGGCCGAGTCCAGCACCAGGGGCGGCCACGATGCCCGCAGTCCGGACCAGGAGGGTGTGTGGCTGTGAGCTCCCAGGGCAGGACTTGGGGAGACACCGTCTCGCAGGGCCCGGCTGGGCTGCGCGGGCAGGGGGCTCGGTGGGTCTTGGGGGTGACAGCCGATGGCTTCTGGGACAGGGACGCCTGCTGTCTCAAAGCACTTCCTCCCCTGTGTCCCACTCACTCCCCAGTCCCCCCAGCCTCCGGAGGCGTCCCTCAGGCACAGCCCGGCTTGGAAGAGGACGGGCGGGAGAGGGGGTGCAGCGGTTGTGTTTGGGGCCGGGCAGAGGAGAGGTGGCAGGGACGAGGCCGGAGCAGGAGTGGGCACGGGGACGAGGAGCTGAGTCACGATGAGAGCGGTTTCGGGGCGCAGAGGCCGTGCGTGCGTGGCTCTGGCTCACGCTCTGCTGCTCGGGTGGAGAGAAGCACCTCTCCGGCACCCTCAGGGCCCAGTCTGCCCGGCAGCTCCGTGCCCCCCTACCCCCCAGGGCGCTCACGTTCACAGCCACCAGGGCGGTGCCCTCTCCAGGGGCTCTGAGTGGCGTCAGCTCCCAGTCCCCAGGCCCTTGACCTCACAGCACGCGTCTCCCCAGGATGTGAATCCCGGGGTCCCCGAGGCACCGAACCCAGTGGAGCGGAGCGCCTGGCAGGGCCTGGGCCAGCGAGAATGACTGGGCACAGGCTGGGCAGCTCTGCGCCTGCGCCTGTGGCCGGCCCAGCAGGCTGATGCCCATCCTGACAGCACAGCGCTGGCTCCTGCGCTGGGGGCCCCCTGGGGGAGCCCCTCCTCGTGTGCCTCCTTTGCACTCTGCAGTCACCTCAGTCCACGTCTCATTCTCCGTTATGCCATCCCCAGGCGGAGTGGTCACCCAGCCCTGCCCGTGCTTCTGACACCCAGGACTGAGAAGCAGCCTGGCAGGGCGGGAGTG